ATTAAATATTGTGTATTTTTTCTGTTCTGCAAGCACGACGAAAACCATATTGAATCAATTATTTAGTTCCAGAGTGCACTTGGAAAAAGAACGGGTGAATTTTAACCGACTAGACTAATTCATTACGAGATTAAAATAATGCCAGTGTTCATTTACCTGAATTTTCCATGTTGAACCTTTCTGATGTTAGTAAATGGTCATATTCTATATGGCCTTTAGTTTGTCATCAGGAGTTCAAATCCCCATCTCTACATGGTCTGCGCTCATGATAGAGCAGCAATTGAAGAATTCCTTTTTTGGGCACCAGAAGAACTTCATTTCGTTTCTGACATTGACCGAGGTGACCACAATTCTGTTGCCGAGTTGAAACCCTTTCAGGACAGAGCCTACATTAAAGCCGCATAGCATTAGAGAACGATCCGTTGGATGGGGTCTTCTTCAACAACATCGAAGATCTTGGCTCATCAAAGCATCTGACCTCTGCTTTCCTTAGGTCGAGTCGGCTAAAGTCGGAAACTGAGGTGTTCATCATGATCCGCCAGGATGATTACTTCCACACCTCAGTCTATCGTAGTCGAGTAATGGGTACAAATGTCTCTGACACCAGGTGCGGGGACTACTATGAGGCGTCTGAGACCCTTGTGTATTTGCTGTCGGCACGTGGAGCATATTTGGTCCCAGGCTAATAAATCTATCGACATAACGCAGCATTACGAGTGATATCCGGCACTCTTACGGTTTTGACGAGATACCGGTGTTTCCTTTCGCTCCGGGGGATATTGAATCCGTTGTGAGGAATAGGAAGTGCTAAATTTATTAGAACTATTCATTTCCTATACATTCGTCATTCAAGCGTCCTCTTCGTCGTGGCGTTTTCAGCTTCGGATGAGGCAGATTTCGTCCAAAAAGAGGAGGAAAACAGATGAAATATCAAGATTTTCTCTTCGAACTCCGCAGACTCTCTCCAGATGATCACTCTATTGAAATGGTTGTTCGGATCGTTGGGGTCCTTGGTGGAATGATGCACTCTCTACTCTCGAATATCATGGTAGAAATCTTGGCCGGACAAATATAGAAGGCTGTAATCTTAGGCTCATTTCGTCTGCTTAGGACACATGGGAGTGGCCACTCGTTCAAAAAATACAAACAAAAAAAAAAAGTACAAAAAAAGTGGAAGAAAAAGTTACGGGAGTGTCTGGTACTCATTGGAAAAGTGGAAGAAAAAGTTACAGGAGTGTCTGGTACTCATTGGGAAAGTCTAGCTCAGAGTTACTCAAACACAACCAACAGCACCACTTCAGTTTTGAACACTTACATAAAGAGAAGAAAAATAGAATGATTGTACTTTTAATTATGGTGAATGATGTATCTCTTTGGAAAATGAATTTATTCGAGCAGTCGAAGGCCTACATCCTAGAAAAAAAATCCGGGTCAGTAGGCCGGTCGAACTGAACTCGTAGTACCGTTTCATCTGTTACTGCGGCAAACATCGTCAGTGGTATATGCGTTGACTGTGAGAACAGAGATATCATTTTGAAGTTTCAGCAACGACTTCAAATAATTTTTTGAAAAATTGAATTTTTAATCTCAAAAGATGTTCAGAGTTTTCTATCTATCAAATAAAATAGAAGTTTTTAGGAAAGCATTTGCTAGGTCATACTCTGAACTTTTTTCCTGGAATTATTCAATCAATAAGAATAGCCACATTCAAGGATCTCTTTCACAGTGTGTTTAACTTGTTTGAGAAAGGTAATGAACGAAATGCAGTGGAATTTTCGGAGCTAGAATCAGGCCTTAGTTTTTCTAACTGAAAAGCTATAACGCCACCCTTGAATGATGATGATTCATTTACATTATCTAGTACTCATATGAGCATATATTCCAAGAAAAAACAAGTTTATGCTGAAAGTAAGTAAAATTTAACAATAATCATTTAATTTTAGGTATATATGTTCAGCTAGCGACCCGCCCCGGCTCCGCACGGGTGCAGTGCTGATACTAAATGGACGCGTGCGATCGCTGCTAATCATGAAGTGCTACAGGGCGAAACGCAGCCTTCGACACGCTATTTATTTGCACGCACCGCCGGCCACGCGGCCGGTACCGCCGCAACCGCTATTAATTTGTAATATTTTCTCAAATATTAATTTAGATCACATGCTGTGAAGGACCAATTGATCTATATTAAATGCACAATATATTTAAGGTACTTAATTGGATACGGATTAATGTTGTATTGCTTAAAATCTCTTCGTAAAAAGCAGAGGATGAAAAATGGTTATTGTGGGTGGGGTATCCCTAGGAGATAGAAATATACCATCGCGCAATTTTTTGTTGATATTTTTAAGGGGTATAATAGTGGTAAATACATCTCGTAGGGTTCAGCCAGCGTTTGCAATGTAAGCGCAAAAAATGTGTTTATTTACGACATCACATCAAGTTGTGTATTCACCAAAAAAGCGAGTACGAGCGAGCATGAGCGAGCATTCTTGTATGTTTGCTCGTGTTCGCTCATGATCGCTCGTGTTTGCTCGACATATTGATATCTCGTCCACACCAGACCGAATATATTCAAGTTCGTAGTCGTAGTTGATCCATCTACTTTGTGCGAGCACCTTTTGATGTACCGCCTTCTTCTCGATCTTTTCTGAACGCGAACAAGCATACGTTCGCTCGCTCGCTAGCCCGTACTCACCAGACGATTATTGATGCAGAATGCTCGTTCACTCTTGTTTGCTCTTGCTCTTATTTCAAATCAGCGACCCACCACCAGGCTTCGTACGGGTGGGTACTAGAATATATATGCCTACATTTTTTTGACACATCAGCTCATCTGAAGGGCGTGCTTTTGAAGTTGAATGGACTGGAAGTTTCGCCTTCAGAAAATTTCAGAACAGTGCTGAATACTCGAAAGTGTTCAGAATATCCCAGAACATTCTGAAATATGATATGTGGAACATTCGGGAATATTCCAAACTACCCCAGATCATTGTGTAAATAAATGTTGTAGTCACCTTCTCACGCCCCTCGATTAAAAAGGTTTCCGTTTCCACATGAAAGGCACGCTTTTGAATCAGAATGTTTCGCCTTCTAGAAAGTGCTATAACAGAACATTCGAGAGTATTCCACAAAACATTCTAGAATGTTGTAGAACATTCTGGAATATCCAGAAACTTACCAGAACATTGTAAAATATTTCAGAAGAGTATCTATTGCTGTGGAATTTTCTTAAACTCTGTGAACCATTCGAAGTCATTTTTGTATGGATGGAGCTATCTATTCGTATATAAAGCAGAATCTGTCGACCTCTTATAATTTAAATTTTGATTCTAACTACCACGCAATCTCATAACAACTTCATAAGTGAAGTCGGCAGCTAGTAACTAATAATCAAGAGATGAAATTATCTCAAGTAACTTGTGGAATTTACAAATTTTGCCTACAAATTGAATCATCTGTGGAAAAAATTAAATGTATATACTTGGCTTTCTTTAGATGGTTACCCTTCCAGAAAGTTCAAAACTAGCAAAATATTCACTTGTGAAATCGTAACATAACCCACTGAAGAATCCAATTAGTCAGTGACTTGTTTACAAAAAATTTCTCTACGAGAAAAATAAATAGTAAACGAAATAAAATTGTAATACCTACTTGACTTTTTCAAAAGACCTACGTTTCTGAAAATAATCCCGTTCCGTTCTCTAAACCCATGACCCAGATTCTATATTGATGCAGCTTTGTTTATTTTTCAGATTAAGGAAGATTGAATGCGGAAAAACAGCAGTAGACATTTACTCCTCCACAAAAAAATTCATTCAAATAAGATAGTATAATGGGGTAATCGAAAGTTGTGCATAATGACTTGGATATATTATATGGATTCAGACTTTTTTCTGATTCACTTAACTTTTTTCGATATATCTGGAATTTAGGAGTTGAAAATATCGAATTTTAATTCATTTATATTAGGTATATACAATTTAAATAGAGGATCTACTAAATGACCCTTAATTGTTTACTCCATAATAAATATCTAGGGATTATTGGATACGTAGCACCACTAAGATATGGATTTCAAAATTTTTGAAATCTGCCCGGTTATCACTCAAAGTCATATATTTTTTACAAGCTCTCATTCAATGTCACCTGTAGAACAAATCTAGAAACGGAATTTTGAACCAGTTGATATCGACCGATTGAGCTGAAATTCCGACGTCATTTTAAATCCATTATGGCGGTCGCCACAAAGTTGCTAGTTAGCAATTCCATAGTAAACCTTATGATATGGGTATCAAATGAAAGGATGACGTTGTTCTAAATTCAAAATGGCATATGCCTCATCATTGGAAAGCTGGACAGCCAAAACTTACAGGAAATAACCTTGTAATAATGTTGCATTACCAGAAATGCAGAGCAGGCGCAACAAAACAATCCTCTCTACGCAAATCTTTAATAAGATTTCAATGTCAATTTTAAGTTTATGAGAAGCTCAACAAACCGAAACGGTGCCTAATTACTGGGGTCAGGTTTTTTTTCATTTTGTTTTTATTCATTAGGCCTAATGCAAATATTTTTATACGCAACCTCTTGGTATTTTGTTCAAATGCTATATCGAATATAAGTTTTCATGAGTTTCAAATTCACGAAACTTCTATTCTCAAAACGTATTTGAAAATATTTTGAGGTTGAGATTTATATTTGGGAGAGAGAACTAATAAAATGTGTACTAAATACTAGAGTTTCTTTTCATGTCAAATAAAAGGTGCCTGAATGTTTTATTATTGTACCTATACCAACATTCATAGTTTTTTATGATAGATCGTCTTACAAGTTGCTAACAAGGTGAATACCTTCATACTTTTGCCAGTTTAGTGAAATTATACACTATCTATGGATATGTAATGTCATAAGCTTCTGGCAAAATTGAAAACTAAATGCAAGTACAATTTCAAAATTATGAACAATGAAAACGATATTCAGTAAGTAAGTAAGTATTTATTTCTACGAGAATTCATTGCCCATTCTGAGCAAAATTTATTTTATTAGTTTCAGTATATTACCTTAGATGATTCAATAAAAAATGTGGTAAAAAATATTGTTCTGCTATTATTTTATAAATTATATAATATGATTGGTAATCATGCTGTGTTCAATGAAAGCAATCTCTCCTGAATCTTTTTCCATTTCAAGCTCATTTGTTGTAGAAAATAAGTAAATAATTGGAAAGTTGAAGTATCCAGCAAAAGTACATTCGACAGTTACAGTTGCACCTTCTCCTACGAACCCTCGGCCAGCAGGAAATAATCTTCCGCGTGCCAACCTCGACCTGCAAGTTGTTTCCTACTTCTGTCATGCAGAGAGCGCCTTGCTCAACAACCATTTAAAGAAGTATGAAGATGGCTGCCGGTGCATAAACCCCACTCGCTCTCTCCACTACTCCCATCTTTCTGGTAGCTGGATCGGCTTGCAATCTCATAGTCCGCGGCCTACTTTTCACCTGGGATTATGCTGCCTAGCGTTCCTCAACTGTTTCTGTAGTACAACTCTTACCGTTAGCGTACGCGGTCGGTCGCACTGCACTCTGACTTACCTGCCGAAGGCCCGCCTACTTTCTAACAGCTACACTTGTACTCTCGTTCGTCGATGCTCACGTGTTCGTAGAGTGCTTGGGGAATTCATATCCGTCAAGTTGTTGCACTTGAAACAGTGTTGTTTCTGATTTTTCGCGTGTTTTTTTTGAGATTTTTGTGAATGGAACTTAAATGTGATCAATGGAGAGAGATGTTTACTTTAGGTGAGCTGGATTTTTTCGTGGCTTGGTGCAGTCTTAAGTCTTCGGAGGATGCTTTTGTTCGCCATAAAATACATCGCAAGAACGCATTTTCGTGAAATTTTCGTTTTCACGGATGAGATCGAGGAAACATGCACTCAAAACTTTTGAATACTGCAATAACATTAAGAGAGAATGAGTTTCCCGACTTTCATTGAAGCTGGCAACTATCAGGCCCATAGAGAAAGTAAGTTTTCTGGTGTTTGCAATTCCCGAACCCTCAAACACTTGTAAATACTGAAATATGATTCATATTTTTGGTCTTAATGGAAAATACTTGAATCTTTTTTTCGATAGTAAAGTATTGAATAATGGTTAATAATCCTTTTCAGAAAATATTGTGAATTGGGTACTGGTTTTTACAGCCTTAAGATTATCGAGAATTACACATTCAATGAGCCATCTTTTGGAATTCTTTGAAAAATATACCTAAGTAGTTCATACAAACAAAAGAGAATATCTGAAAAAAATTCAAAGAAACTAGCTGTCATCATTTTTTATGGCGCCCTCCAGCGATTTTTCTGAGAAGTAAATCTGATTAGTTTCAAATTTCAATGACATTTCAGTTCTGGTAAACAACCGCATTCTTATAGGGTGAGTCAGAGTAGAAGTGAGTTGCATATCTTCGATAAGTACTTTTTTTAAACACGGGGCTGAGGTGCTATTCACGTCTTCTGCTTAAAAACAATCAGAAATTTATACTTCGAAGATGCGGTGTACCTTCAACTTTTGATTCGTAGTTTTGTCAGGGATTTGATCACGATTGAGAACTGTGATGAATTGTTGAAATAAAAAAAATTAATATTCTTAATGAAAAAGCGTTATCTAATACTACGATGACCGTATTAGTTTGTGAATAGGAGTTCGTGAACAATCTTTTTCTCACAACTTTTTCTACCCCATAACTTTACTTGCAGGTGAAATTTTGATTTCATTTTCATGAAATGGATACAAAAACTTTTTTGAACTGATACCACATTTCATTAATTTATGAAGAAAAACCAAAAAAATTGTTTCAAAGTTTTAAAAAATATTATTTCCAAACCTTATATGTACATATTATATGCTTTTCTTTCAAATATTAGGAATATTCATGCATAACCACAAAAAGAAACTTCGAACATAGCCTTTCAGAAACATTTCAATGTTCTTAGTTTGATTGAGGCATGTTTTTTATCAGTATTTATCTAGTTTTCTAGTACGTAGGACACAGAAATACTGCATACAAATTATTGATTGCCTTACTCTCATTTTGGAGACCAAAAAATGTCTATTAAAGAACAATATCGAAATTCATCTTTCCCTATCGCTAGGGAGGTAGTAGCAGTAACATAGGAAACTTTTCAATAAAAAAATTATTTTTTATGTAAGATAAAAAAATTGTTTGTCAAAAAAATCTCAAAATCTAGATACTTTAACGTCATCTAGCGTTCCAGTAATGAACTTCCAACCCTTAGTACCGTAATACCGTCGCACTGTATTATTCACAGTCACGACAATATCCAATCCAATCCAATTGGTTTCAGCTGTTTGAGATTCTTCTACATTTATTGTTATTTTCTTCTGTTACCCGCGAGCGAAGCCGCAGGTAAAAGCTAGGCGTTTATAAATTTCAAAAATCTTTTTAGTTGGAATAATTCATCGAACTAATTTTCAAGTTATTTTTCAACACGAAATTGATTATTTATTTTCTAAAAACGAAATGGCAATAATTACATTTGGTATAATTAATGTATTTTCATCACATTAATGATGACAAAAGAAAAGAATATCAACTTTTGAATTATTCTGATTAATTTGTTTCTGTTAGATACGACAAAAATAATATGTACCTAAAATAACCACTTTTTCAAAAGAGTTTGTTAATTCAAAAATGTATTTTTGAAGTAACATTTCGAAAGAAACCTGATATGGAGAGAATTTGATTTTCAACTAGGAAAGCATCAATAAATTGATTGATGTAGCCATTACTATGTGATAGCAAATCATCATGAAAAATTAGAAATGAAACTTTCTATGTTTTTACCACTTTCATTTGTAACTATCGTTACTGCAGTTTCGTCCTATATGGTCATTTTCAAACTGATATAAACTAATACAATAAAACTCAGTTTTATCGTAATGATACTTACAAATAAAAGTGATAAAAAACACAGAGTTTTTTATTTTTCATAGAAAATCATCTTCCATCACTTGTTGTGTACCATCCACACTCTACTCCCTTCTTAATTTTTTTTGTAACCATCTGTTATTTTTCAAGAACTATTTACCACATCTACTCAGAATGAAATTTCAGTTATGTTTCTGATGAAATCAAAATTACGTAACCCAATTTTGAAGTACCTTAAATAAACTGTTCTTTCATGATGGTGTGAAATGTATCAGAAAATGTTTATAGTCACGATACAATTTTCCTCCCTTTCATAGAAAATTATATATTGAATCCATTCTACCTTATCGTTCAGTCATAACGATAGTTAATAATAAGACCTTGGCCACAGTCTCGTGATGGGTATAGAGGTTCCTGACACAAGGTGCAGGGCCTACCAACAGGCGTCCGAGACCCTAATGCACTTGCTGTCAGCATATCCAGCATATGCGGTCTCGGCCTATATCTAATCCAACTATTCGTTTCCCACCCTCAGGTTCATACAAGCTAATAAGCCTGATATAGTCCTTCTCGACCACCATAGCAAAACGATATTTGTCGTGGAGTTTTCAGCTACTGGCGAGACGAATATCGTCCGAAAAGAGGAGGAAAAATGGATGAAATATCGAGACGTTCTTTTCGAAAGCAGACTTTTTCCAGATCACTGTGTTAAGATGATTGTTCTGATTATTGGAATCCTGGGTGGAATGATGCCCTCTGTATTCTCGAATCTCAAAATCACACTGGCTTGCCACACTACGTTAGGTTAGGTCCAAAGTGAGTGGGTCTATTCGACCCGCCACCGGAACCCGCAAGGGTTTATTGTGGGTCACACATATCCACACTCGACCAAATAAACCCAGCTTCTTAACGAAGCCGATTAGTTTGTATGGTGAGTGGTCTTTCAGGTCAGATGGTAAGAGTACGGCTCTGCCGAACTCTAAAAACCTGATTCGGTCCCCAGCGGGGCAGGCACAAAGTATGTGCTCCGCTGTTTATCAAGCTTCGAAGGGTGAATAAACGCCTTAAAGTGAGCCAATTCTGGAAGATTCTGCGAGAAATCCATAAATCTTCTTGCCATCCAGGCTTGCCGCACCAAGGCCGGAAAGATGCAGAAAGGTGTCATTCTTGGCTCACTGCACTTGCTCAGGACACATTATTCTAGGATTCAATGATCACTTACATTAGGGTGTGGGGAGTGGTCGTTAGTTGATAAAGCTGGGGCTTCGCTGGATAGGGTCTGACCAGCGGAAACTTAGGTTTAAACTAATAATAATAATGGCTTTTATTGATGATCCCATACAATTACAATCAATGAAATGGCAGGATTCAATTTCTGTGCATGTTAAATTATCGCAGAGATTGCTCTTCCATCCAACCGTGAAAACAAAAAAAAAAGGGGGGGAAAACAGTATTTCATCAAGACCAGTGCAAACAGTATACACAGCGAAATTAAAATACAAAATATATATTTTTTGAGCTTCGAGAAAGGTTGATTGATTTCGACATAATTTGATTAGTCGGATCTATTTATTGTAAGGAGATAATTTTTCATCTTTCGTTTGCAGTTTCCTATTGTCAGAGGGTTATATTCAATAGGTATCTGATTATATGAGTAGGCAATATGGAAAGTAAAAGATCCGCGAAATAAAGATGTTTTATGTTGTGGTATTATTAAATGTGTCCTGAATCCCAAGTTACGATTTTTAAAGCAGCAATTCGTTCAGGCCAGGCTCAAATTACCTACACTGTAGGTTAATGGACTGACACCTATCAGAAACCAACTAGTCCCCTGGCTAATACCACGAAGGGCGTTGGATTATATCCGACAGGCCGGAACGAATTGTTCGTTTAGATAATTTGATTGACAGCCAGTCTCCATATATGCCTACTCACTTTGTGTGAATAATTTTTAAAATCATGAAAAACTTTTGATGCTATTAGAAATTTGATTATGATACATAATCAAGACTCCAAATGGAGCTACGAAAATTGGGGAAACTTTCGAATAAAGCAAAAAAAGAAGAAGAAAATATCTGCACTGAGAAGTTTTTATGATATGAAGTGCACACACAGAAGTTTTTTCAGATTCAAACTGAAAAAACCTTTTCGACATAACTACTTTTCCATGAACATTCAATAACACGAAAGAAAAAATACTTTGAAATAACTAGTTTCGCATACGAACATTGAATCATACGAAAATAACTGTTGCCCGTTCAGTGTCTACGATATAAAACTTCAATTACGTGGAACACTACGAGTATCATTTTTAAAGGCGAATATCAAAGTTTTAGATACGATGACAATAAGTACTCAATGACATTCATACGCTCATTTGATTTAATGTCAGCCATAGAAATATTGTTTAAATTGAAAGGTAAAGAAACATTTAACGTTATTTTTGATAAATACATTCAGTATGTACATAGGCAGTTTGGTCATGTCATAAAATTATAAAATTGCAGAACAACGCCGTCGGATAACAAGTCATCTTCATATCTTGATGTCGTTTATGACACTTTTAACAAACCCAAAATTCCTCGTTAATATTCAAAACAAAGCTCGGGAAATTTTAACTTTTACTGAAAAATTCACAATTGAACATTTCAGTGAAACAACCTCATGGAATCAATGAAGTCGGCCCGGAGCGCCAATTAATTTTTGTTGTTGTTTTATAATTTGTATTTACCAAAATAATGTTCAGAATAATGAAAAGATTAAACCTCATAATAACTTGGATGTCCTTATCATTGAAACAGAAATTGACATATCAGTACAACAAAAGCAACTATCTTTACTTTTTCATACTTGCAAAGACTCAAGTGCAAACAAAAATGAGTTTATGAGGTATCCAAAATGTCGAAGTCATATTTTATCCACACATGCAATAACTGGACTTGACATTAAATAAGCATTTTCAAAAGGCAGTAAAGCAACAATATCCAATATCCAGAAGTATATGAAAATATTAACTTTTCTCCACAAATCATCATTACAAACGGAATTAGCTTTCTTCTCTTCATATACAAGAATAG